GAAGGACCCAACTGAAAAAGAGAACTACAGACCAATCTCCCTAATGAACACAGATGCAAAAATCCGCAATAAAATATTGGCAAATAGGATGCAGCAAATCATCAAGAAGATCATACACCCCGACCAAATGGGATTCATCCCAGGCATGCAGGGATGGTTCAACATACGTAAATCCATAAACGTAATCCACCATATCAATAAAGCCAAAAGAATCACATGATCATTTCTATAGATGCAGAAAAGCCTTTGATAAGGTCCAACATTCATTCGTGATAAGCACCTTATAGAAAATTGGAATATATGGCCTTTACCTCAATATAATTAAGGCCATCTATGACAAACCAACAGCCAATATCATACTAAACGGCCAAAAATTGAAGGCCTTTACTTTAAAATCAGGCACAAGACAAGGATGTCCCTTATCACCACTCCTATTTAATATAGTACTGGAAATACTGGCCAGAGCAATTAGACAAGAGAGAGAAATAAAAGGCGTAAAGATAGGAAAAGAAGAAGTTAAATTATCATTATTTGCAGATGACATGATACTCTATATAGAAGATCCCCAAAACTCCATTGAAAGACTCCTAGATATAATAAATAAATTCAGTAATGTAGCTGGATACAGAATCAATACTCAAAAATCAATAGCATTCCTATACACTAACAACAAAGTCACACAGAGAGAAATAAGAGAGGTGACACCCTTCACACTAGCAACCCAAAAAAATGAAATATTTAGGAATTACTCTCATGAAAGAAGTGAAAGTCCTATACAGGGAAAATTATAATACACTGAAAAATGAAATTGAAGATGATCTCAGAAAATGGAAAGACATCCCTTGCTCATGGATAGGAAGAATAAATATTGTGAAAATGGCCATTCTCCCAAAACTTTTATACAGATTCAATGCAATCCCAGTAAAAATACCATCAATATACCTCATAGAACTCGAGAAATCACTCCTAAAATTCATCTGGAGCGAGAAGAGACCTAGAATAGCAAGGACAGTTCTAAGCAGCAAAGGCGATGCAGGAGGTATCACAATCCCTGACTTGAAGTTATACTACAAGGCAACTGTAGTAAAATCAACATGGTACTGGAACCAAAACAGAGCCGAAGATCAGTGGAATAGATTAGAAGATACAACCACAACTACAAACACACTCAACCACCTTATCTTTGATAAAGGGGCCAAACATGTTCACTGGAAGAACGACAGTCTCTTTAATAAATGGTGTTGGAAAAATTGGCTCTCCATATGCCGAAAACTAAAACTAGACCCATGCCTATCACTATGTACTAAAATAAAATCTAAATGGATCAAAGATCTTAATATCAAAACAGAAACACTAAATCTATTGGAAGACAAATTGGGTAAAAACCTTGAGCACATAGGAGTAAGGTAAAGAATTCATGAACAGGACTCAAACCGCACGGGAAATACTGCCCAGAGTCAATAACTGGGATCGCCTCTTATTAAAGTTTCTGCATGTCAAAAGAAATCTCTAGCACAGTGAAAAGAAAACCCACAAACTGGGAAAAAATCTTAGTGAACTGCCCCTCAGATAAAGGACTTCAGTCTAAAACATATAAAGAATTACAAAAAATCAGACCCCCAAAATTCAAAGACCCAATCCAAAAATGGGAATCTGAGATGAATAAACAATTTTCAGATGAAGAAATTCTAACGGCAAATAAATACATGAAAAAATGTTCACCATCACTGGTCATTAGGGAAATGCAAATTAAAACCACACTGAGATTTCATCTCATTCCTGAAAGAACGGCCAAGATCAAGAAAACCACCGACAACAAATGCTGGAGAGGCTGTGGAGAAAAAGGAACTCTCTTACACTGTTGGTGGGAGTGTAGACTAGTACAACCATTATGGAGGTCAGTCTGGAGAGTTCTCAAAAAGCTGAGTCTGGAAACCCCATTTGACCCAGCTATTCCACTTCTAGGCATATTCCCAGAAGAACTGAAAGCATCACACCACAGTGATATATGTGCACCCATGTTTATAGCAGCACAATTTGTAGTAGCCAGATCTTGGAAACAACCTAAGTGTCCATCAACTGAGGAATAGATAAAAAAAGTTGTGGTATTTTTATACAATGGAGTACTACTCAGCTATAAAGAATGATCACATTGAGATATTTATAAATAAATGGACGCAGCTTGAGACCATACTCATAAGTGAAATAAATCAAACTCACATGTATAAATACCGGTTTCCCTAGTGTAAGAAATGATAAGAATACTAAAAGTATGTGGTAATCATGATTCCCAATCATATTGGTTTGAATCCATATAATGTTATCACTCATTAATTGCAATGGTTTTAACCTGGGTTGTTCAATTTTAATATCAGTGATAGTACGAACAGCTATTCTGAAGAAAACAACACATCATAAAAGTTAGTGCTGATTTAATATCATCTTATTTTGAAGTCCCATCAAGCTGTTGTACACCTGTTTCCACTGGTTTTAACATGTGGTATCTTACTGTATTTTACTATATGTGATAGTATAAACAAAATTTTTTATAGGCAAGGAGATAATATAGAAACCATTGTTTGTTTTCTGTTAACTGGTTCTAAATACCCTGAAATTTCTTCATTCTCTTGAATAGCTTCAGACTGACTTGGTATGCTTGATGTTATAGTATATGAAGTTATACTCAAATAATTCAAGGAAGGAGGCACTATGGTGACTACTATTATGTTAGATTATCTGGGGGTGAAACACAATGATGCTTAAATTGTTTGGTTCTGACCTGGGTTGTTCTAATACAATGTCCTCTTTTACCTCAATCCCACCCTTTTTTAAAAATTAATCTATTTTTTTCTTACTTTTTTTTTCAATTAAGGGAAAACTAAATTAAAAAATAGCGGGATATGTTATAGTAACTTTTTTGTTTTCCTATTAACCTGATATGATCCCCAGTATTGCTCTCCCCATCTTGTTCTGTCAGATTTTACTATATTCTATTCTGTTTGATAGTATCAAGTTTGAGGGTATAGGCAACCACTTTGAAGGCAGTAAGATTCACTAAGATGCCCATTATGGTTTGATTATTATCTTCTTTTGAAATCCTGTAAAGTCTCCAGTGTAGGTTTTATTGGTCTTGTTCTGTACTGTTTTGATCAATTCCATTATACCTGACAATATAGGCAACTTTTTAAAAAAATAGCAAGAGGCACAATGGTAACCGTTTTAGATCACCTGATATTCTATTTTTACATCATGTACTATGTCCATCCTTTTGCTCTAACTGACTCTAAGAATTGTGGGAGTTCACTGCTAAATTTGACTGGCCTTAAAAAAAAGTTTTTTAAAAAGAATTGTGGGAGTAAAAAAACCCAAAAAGTGTAATTGTTATTAAAGAGAGGAAAGGAAGGTGGTTTAAAGGATATAACTGCATGCATGTTTGAGTGTGCAGGATGGAAATCCGTATTACTGAACTATTGTTGGATCATTGATCGGCACTGTCTGCAATCTCGTTGTATGAATGTTCACTTTACATGCTTTAATTTTATAATTTGGACAACTATTTCAAAGATGACAATATGTAACCTATTAACTACTGATATCTTACTGTATTTTTTCCCTTGAAATTCTGTATTATTTGTACGCTTTTACTGCTTTTTTAAAAATTTTATTTCCTTTTTTTCTCTTTAAATAAAAAAAAAGATATACATATAAATGGCTGATGAGCACATAAAAGCTTAGTATCTTCAGGGAAGTACACTTCACATTGTAAGGCACCATTTCATTTATGCTAGGATGTAAAAATTTAAACATTAAAAAAAAACTAAAAGAGGGCCAGGGATTTAGCACAGTAGTGTAAGTGCCTGCCGGGTAAGCGTGAGGTTGTGAGTTCGATCTCCAATACCAAAAAAAAAAAAAAATTTTTTTAAGCCCAAAAATAATAAAAATAAAAATAAAAATAAAAAAGAAACTAACAAGTATTGGCAAGGAGGTGGAGGGACTGGAATCCTCTTGCACTGTCCTTGGGGAACTAGAATGGTGCAGTCATTATGGAAAGCAGTTTGCAGTCTGTCAAAGCTAAGCATGGAACCATCTCATGATTCAGTGATCTCACAGCTAGGTGTATATCCAAAAGAACTGCAAGGTCAGACTCAGACATCTGTACACTAATATTCACAGTATGTAACTCACTGTAACCAACAGATGGGAAAACTCAAGTGACTGAAACAAATGAATCAAAAACTCAAGCCAGATGTGGTGGCACAGGCCTATAATCCCAGCACTCAGAAGGCTGAGGCAGGAAGATCACTGGGAACTCAAGACTAGCCTGGGCTACAAAATGTGCTCAAGGCCAGCCTGAACTGCACAGCAAGACCCAGTGTCAAAAAGACCAAAAAAAAAAAAAAAAAAAAAACCAATAAAAAACAAAAACCACGATACTCAGTCATTAAAATGAAATTAGATATATGCTACAAAAGGAATGGACCTTGAAATAGTATGCTAAATGAATTAAAACAATCAAAGAATATTTAATTCCACATATGTAAGATTTCTAAAACAGGCAAATTCGGATGGAAGACAGAATCACAGCTCCTAGGGACTGGAGGGAGGAGAGAATGGGAGTTACTATTTAATAGTAGTGATAGTTAAACAACACTGCGCCTGTAGTCAGATACCACTGAGGTATATACTTATAAATGCTTCTGACTATTTTATGTATATTTCACAACAAAAAACACTTATTTTCAAGCCACAATTAGTAATATAGCAATGTGCTAAGATAAATGTGTGTTTACAGAACCTACAGGGATCTTCTTCTTCATCTCATAGATATCAACAAAGCCAGACGAGGAATTAATATCATTCCTTCTAAAGGTCACAGGTCACTTCCACTACAATCAGGAAAACAGCCTATTCCAAAATATTAGCACAACCCACAACACACATCTCAGGGTCAGTTTAAGGAACTTGGAACACATTAAAAACAATATATATTTTATTTGCAGACACACAGGGAACACTAAACTTCCCTGCATGAATCCTCATGTTGAATTGAGCATATTGGACCATGCTGTTTCTGGAGCAGTTTCTCACGACCAGGAATCAAGACACAGTGGCCTGAAAGGTAACGGTTTTGCATCCAGCTCCTCAGAACCAGGGCAGTACACCCCGTCTTTTACCTTCAAAGTAAAGGACAAGTATTTCATCGCATCCTTAATCCACTGTGCATTTAACTGTGAAATGGCTCATGTCGACTCTGCCCCATTCTTCCACATAATTCAAGTAAGATGAGGGACTAGCACAAAACATGCAATACGTGAGGCATGCTCAGTAGGAAAAATAGGATTCTACAACTAACCTGAAAAGAAAAGTAAGTTCCAGGAGTTTTTATTGTTTGAATAATGGCACACATAAAACCAGGCAGAGAAGTCCCCAAGGAAAAGATGGTCGGGTTCCACTGGAACTTGCCCTTTGGTCCTTCATCTTCTAAGCACTTCCTGTTTTTTCTTTTTAATGATATTAGACATTTATTTTGATCACAAATGCAATCCAAGTGTGAATAAATAAATGCAGTATCTTCTATCCCCCCTCCAGTTTCTTTTAAATAGAAAAAGTGCTAAATGTCTCTTCATAGCCTGGTTGGCCACAGTTGTCCCGCCTACAGTTTTAAAACCAGACTGCACTGCAGCTCATTCCGCCAAGAAGATGCTGGGAGACGGTCCTACTGATACTGCCGATAGTCGCCGAACGGCGAAGATGGTAGCTGGGCTGAGGGCAGCTGGGAGGGGTCTTCCACAAACTGAGGGCCTGCAGTGAAATCAAAAAGGAGACTCTGGCATTAGGATTCAAAAGGATAAGTATCTGTAGAGAGCAAACCAATGAACTTGAAAAGTATGTGCTACACTAGAGCTGTAACTCAATTTATATCTCAGGGCTCAAATCCCATGATGGGTTTGGAGAAACTTCAAATTTGGAGTCACATGACAATCTGTCTTGTTTCAGAATGCAGCTCTCAAACACCCAAGGTGCTGTAACAAGGTGCCACAATTTAGGGCTTGAAAAATTGCTCCTCACCCTTAACACATTTTTGGTAACAATTTAAAAATATTACCACAAAATTTAAGTGCCTTAGCTATGTTTTACTTTTTTTTTTTTAATGTTTTGTTTTCTATTTTGTTTGGTACTAGGAATCAAACTCATGACGTTGCACTTGCCAGGCAGCTCCTATGCCACTGAGCTAAATCCCCTTTGTTTTGTTTTTAGGATCGCACTAAGTATTCCAAAGTGTCCATGAGGTAATCCCCCTGCCTCAGCCTCCAGCATGCTGGGATTAGATATACTCCACTATGCCTGGCCTACTTACCCATATTTTAAAAGAATGCAGTAATCCAATTTATAGAACCAGTTGGGTGGGAAATGAGCTCTGAAAGAGGAAAATGCAGCCTAGACTGCTGCAGAACAAACAAAATCTTATCATTTTCAAAAATTAGAGGACTTAGGAGGATGAGGCACAAGGATTGTCATGAGTTCAAGGCCAGCCTGGGCTACACAGAGAGACCCTGTCTCAACGCTCCCCAATCCCGGCCTGGGGAAGGGAGGGAGTAGCTTTTAAAGAAGGCTTTTAGAGAAATAATCAACCATCTTTTCTTTAGGGAAATTGAAGCAGACAAGAAACTATCTGGAAAGAAGAATCACACCCATAATTCCAGCAATGGGGATGGATGAGGCAGGAGGACTGCTGCCGTTCTGGAGCCAGCCTGGACAGTGCTGTTGAAGTCCAGTGAGTTTAAGTCTAGCCCTACACAGCAAGACTTTGTCTCAAACAAAAACAAAAACAAAACAAAGCAAAACCAAAAAGAGAAAGAAAGAAAAAAGATGAAAGAAAACAATTGAACAAACAAAAAAGTTAACATGGTAAAATTCCCTGAAGCTTTCCAAAATGTATCACTCCACTGATAACACTTTTATTTCACTCCAAAAGTGATTATCTGATCATTATAGAAAATGTGAAAGGAATGAGTGAAAAAGGTAACTACAATCACCACTTAAGTGCAGTTCTAGATGATCTTTAAGAGCTTTTTTTTTTTAGTGCCAGAGGTTGAACTCACAACCTCGTGTTTGCCAGGCAGGTGCTCACATCACTGAGCTAAACCCCTGGCTCGTTACGCTTTCTTTAGGTAAGTTAACTTGAAAAATATGATTAACTTTTCAAAGATGTCCCCCTAGACAGCTTTTTAAAAAAGTTACTGCTACTGTCTGAAATAGGATTATTTTTAGGTTGCTTCTATCTTAACAGTGAGATATGATTAATAAAAGAGATTCCCTCTGAGGAAAAAGGCTTAACAGAAAGTAACCAAGGCTAACTTCTAGAAGTCAATATAACTAAGTTTTCGTGTCCATTTCTGAAAATAGGGAAATCTTTTGATGTTTCATGTGAAATCATTTTTTTTCTTGGTGGTACTGAAGACTGAGCCCAGAGTCTTCATACTGAGCTATATTCTAGCCCTTTTCTAAATTTTTTATCTTGAGAAAGAGTTGTGCTAAGTCACTAAGCTGCCAAAGCTGTGTTCAACCTTGTGATCCTACCTCAGGCCCCACAGAGTGCTAGGATCAAGATATGCACAACCATGTCTAGCTTCATGTGAAGTCTTGCCCACTAAAATGATCAAAACAAACTAAAAAGCAGAATTAGAAATAATTATCAGCAGCAAGGCACAGTGGTGCACACCTATAATCCCAGCCCTCAGGAGGCTGAGGCAGGAGGGTTACTGTAGGGGGATTATTGAGTTCAGGACCAGCCCAAGTTACAAAGTGAGCTTAAGGCCAGCCTGAACTGCATAGTGAGAACCTATCTCAAAAAGACAAAAAAGGGGCTGGGGATTTAGCTCAGCGACATAAGCGCCTGCCTTGCAAGCAGGCAGTCATGAGTTCGATCCTCAGTACCGATAAAAAGGAAAAAGACAAAAAAAAAAAAAAAAAAAAAAAAAGGAAAGAAAGAAAATATCAGATCAGAGTGTTAAACTCAGAGGTAAGAAGTGAATCTCTCTTCTGCTCAGAGCAACTGGATTAAACCAGGAGGCCAGATCTTTTCCTAACTCTATACCAAATCGGTTCTTAGCCCACAAATAATTTTCAACATGTCTCACAGTCCTGCCCATGTTCCCGCCCAAGTCTAGCTCAAAGTGACTACTGTAACCACATCTTTCTGCCTCCTCCACTATCAAGGAATATTTCCATTTAAACAATAAAATTTTTTGATAGTTAAAACTGTACAAATTAGCAAGTTCTTTTGTATTTCTGTTGGTCTGATTTTTTGAGAAAGGGTCTCAGTATGTAGCGCAGGATGGCCTCAAAATTGTAGCAATCTCCTGCCTCAGCCTTCTGAGTGCTGGTAACATGGTTTAAGCCTACTAGGCAGACATTACACATGACTACTAACGACCTCCAGTCCACAGTTCTACTTTTCCCCTAAGCACCAGTTCAGAGGAATAATTAGCAACAAATTGCGGACTCTCAGAGACTTTCCTGTGAAACCCAGAGTGATTCTCCTCCCAAACATGAGTACCTTCCTACCACTCTATTTTATTCTTCAAAGCCAGCAACACTATTTGAAATCATCTCACTGATCTGCTGATGTGTTAGTCCTGTTTTATCCCACCAGAATCTAAGTGCTTGAAGACAAGGACCGTCCGATTCACCACTTAACCCCAGCACCTGAGCAGTGCCTGGCAGATGCAGATGCTGCAAGAAACTGTTGCACAACCACTGTTACTACATGTCTGAGGAAACCACCTCTCAGACATCCTCACATGACGAGAGCCCGGTATGGTGGTGCACGCCTTTAATCCCATGGGGCTTGGGCAGGAGGATCGTGAGCTCAAGGCCAGCCAGACCCACAGAGAAAGTTCTAAGCTAGTCTGAACTACATATAGTCTCTGTCTCCAAAAAACAAAAGCAGAAATAATAAAAATGTTTTTAGAAAAAGCAAATGAGGGGGCTGGGGATTTAGCTCAGTGGCATAAGCTCCTGCCTTGCAAGCAGGCAGTCGTGAGTTCGATCCCCGGTACCGATAAAAAGGAAAAAGACAAAAAAAAAAAAAAAAAAAAAAGAAAGAAAGAAAGAAAGAAAAAGCAAATGAGCACTGAAAACATCTGAAGTCTATAAGTCCAACAGCAAATTAAGTACTCAAATACTTCTGTCACGTGGCTAAAAACAGTAATTTCACCCATGCTCACTTTTACAACAAGAATTCGAGTCTACTATCACAGACTTCACGAACTACACAGCATGCTCATGCCTACTGTAGAAATCCCAAACTATGCCATGTTAGCAGACAAAATGATTTTTCTTAACATTAGAAAACCATTCCAAAGTATCTAAGCTGTAAGCAGAGACTCACCATTGGGAAACTGTGAAGAGGCAAATCTTGTCAACAAGATACCAGCTCCTTCGATAAGGGCTAGGAGAATGCCACCCATCGCAGCCGAGCCAACCATGGCCACTGGTCCATCTGAAGACATGGGTAACAAAGCAGTTACTCAAAAGGAAAGGGCTTCTACACTGTTGTGCCCCCTCAACCCCAAACACGCTCTTACTATTCAAGACCCAGTTAGCAAACTGAAGCCCACAGACCAAAGCCAGCCTACTGCCCATTTTTATAAAGTTGTGAGGGAATACAGCCATGTTCTATTAATTATGACTCTGTGAATATTCTCACACTGGCAGCAGAGCTAACCCACTACAACAAAGATCAGACAGTCCAGAAAGCCTCAATTATCTACTATTCAGCCTTTTGCAGAAAAAGTTTACAAACCAAGCTCAGGGGAATTCTGGTTTAAGCCCTGTCCCAAAGATTCAGAAGACAGGTTTAAACTCTTTATTCCTAACAATCCCATATGCAAGGTATTATTAATTCTAGAATAAAGGCTGGCATACCACCGAGTCACAAAGCTAACAAATGCCCAAAACTCGGCCATCACAAGTGCTCCTAACCACTATATTCGTGTGCTAGGACTCCAAGCTCTCTCATTCTCAAACGTCCCAAATAAACAGGTCCCTTAGGTTTTTTTTTTCCCAACCTACCACATATACCCATGCTATCCCAAACCAATGCTCGTCCTATTATATTACAAATGTCGTTAGAATTAAGACATCTCTTTCCAACAGCCTGGCTCCCGCAATGCATCTACAAGGATGGCTTACTTCTGGCGGCCAGGATGGCCCCTGTTAAGGCACCGCTAGTGATGGAATTCCACGGGTCTTCTTTGCCTCTGACTTGAACCATACTACAATCAATCATGGAGAACAGACCTCCCCAAACCGCGAAGCTCCCTGTTTTATTTTAAAAATAAGCAAAGATTAATTTAAATTTCACCTCAGATTTCAAATGTTATTAAAAGAAAAAAAGAGGCTGTACATATCTAAAAACATGTAAATCACCCTTTAGAAACAACATATCCTTAAATTATAGCAGTAATAAATCAAATCATTCTGTCTTTCTTCTCCTATTATCTTCTTCTCCTTCACTTATCTTTAAAATTTTTTCTTCTATTCATCAAGTGACACAAAAAACCTACTCTATGAAAATCATTAGTAGAAAAACAAAGAAACCCAGCTATTTTGGAATATATTATAGGAATAAGCCACTAGAAACTGAAGTGGCAAATGAATGATATGAATAGCTAAAACTATGGAAAACACTCTGCCTTTCCATCTTTCTTCCTCAAGCCTAAATCTAAAAACAGCTTTAGGCCTGCAGGTTGTTTATTTTGTACTTAAACTCACCTAAACATGAAAACATTTTTTTTTTAAGGAGGGTCTTTTGAGACGGGGTCTTGCTGTGGAGTCCAGGCTGGCCTTGAGCTCACTTTGTAACTCAGGCTGTTCTCAAACTCCCAAAGATCCTCCTGCCTCAGCCTCCCAAGTGCCAGGATGCACCACCACACCCAGCACATGAAAACAATTTTGTAAAATCAACAAAGAAATACACACAAAAAAACCAAAATCTAGTAACGATATTAATATTTTCATGGTCAGCATTTCTGGATAACAAAACAGATAATGTGTGTTTTTCTGTTTTCCAATTCTAAAATGAATACCCAAGTCTTACATGACATAAAAATTTATTTCATTTAACAAGTCAGGAAAAGAAGAAAAACTGCAGAGAGGAGCTCCAATCACTTCTTCTCCCTCCTCTGACACCTCAAGATAGTGGGTAACTAGATGCACTCATGAAAGCAATAAACTGGGTCCCACCAAATGTCTCAACCAGAATCTCTAGGCTCTTCTTCCAGTGCTGATGTTACTAATTAAAGGTAGTAGACATGACCTTCCTTTAGCTGGTAGCTTCAGCTACCATAGCATACAGCTCCTGATTTTTGGTCATTATCAGATATCTCAAACTATAGTTTTTTTAAAAAAAGTTACCCAGCAAATTCTCTGTCCAGTTGTATTAGAATTCCCTTGCTAAATATATCTCCCCACCCCATCACTCCCTTTTCCTTGGTAATGGGAACTGAACTCAGACCTCAAATATGCTAGGTGATTATTCTACCACTGAGCTAAAATTTTCATTTTGCCCAGCCCTAAAATTTTCATTTTGAAGGAATGACAAGTAGCCATGGGTCATGGTTTACAAAACAATCAGGTGTCTCCAACTGGACTAATCTTTGTATGTGAATGTAACATCTACATTTTTTGCCATCTTCTTTCTCCCAACTTCCAAAAAACCAAGTTTAAAAAAAAAACAAGTTTTATCAGAGCAATGCTCACAATCTTTTGAAAGTTTGCCCTAATCTTTGCATGATGTCTAAAAGCTAACCTCAGAGAAAAGCCCAGTTTCTCTCTTATGAAGCCCCTGATCCTACAAATCATGCTCACTTCAGCTTTACTCGCCCCGGATGCTGTCATTGTTGACCCCTAAACACCAGCTTTAACCACTCCACCTTCCTTCTGGAGAAGCAAAAAAAAAAAAAAAAAATCCCTGCACATCTGAAGGACAGAGACAAGGTTTTCAAATGGATACAAGAATTCAAATCAACTTCCCAAACAAGCCATAAATCAAGAAGAACCTACAGAGGTATTAGTTTGTAACAAACTATTAAATCAAACTAAAATCACTAACTGGTGTAGGTAGTCTTTTTTTGGTGTGTGTGTTGAGTGACGTAGGTAGTCTTTTTAAAACAGGAAAAAGAAAAGTTTCATCTTCAGGCAAACTGGAGCACAAACAGAACAATTCCACTTACCTCCCAACTGTGGAGCCCTGGTTTTAATAGCTGTCAAACTCCCTCGTAGTCTGTGGTTTACTCCCTGTAACAAAAAAGCAGCTCAAACTTTAATACAATAGCATGTAATAATATATTTCTAGCCCCCTGGAGTCACCAGAAATATTACCAAACTCCAGTTTCAAGTGATGACAAAATAAAAACAACCACCTACTTACCACTGGAGAATTTCGAAAACCTTTGATAGCTTGAAAGATTCCACCACCTATGGTGCCCATTGTAAAGGCCCCACCGCAGTCATCCACGATTCGCCATGGGCTACAGAAAGAGAAACAAGATGATCTGTTTTTCATTCGTAAACCATAAAACCTTCTTTACTAATACAGTAAAGGCTGCAACAGAGTCTAGTACAGGACCTAGTGCAACCAACATTTGACGTAAATATAGACAAAGATAAAGACTACTGAAACACAGCCGTATCTATTTGGTTCCAAGTCAGCCTAGCTAGAAAGAATAGAAATAGCGTCAACTTTCAAATGTGTAACAGCACTTCACACATTCACTTAACAATTACTGGATTCATTTTAATATATATACATACACTCATTTATTTATTGTTGTTTTGAGACAGGGTCTCACTATGCAGTTCAGACTTGGCCTTGAGCTCACTTTGTAGCCAGGCTGGTCTCAAACTTGAATGATCCTCCTGCGTCAGCCTACTAAGTGCTGGGATTAGATACTACGACTATCTGTGTTTAGTGTGGCACCGTGCAAAAGCAAATGAACAAATACATAGGAAATTTTACTGCAATCAATAGTGTTGATTCAATCTTCTAGAGAGCAGGGCTAAGCCCTGCAAGCAATAAATTTTTGAGGGTCAGGGGTGTGCCAGGAATAAACACAGGACCTCATGCTTGCCACGCTGAGCTGTATCCCTGGCCAGCAATCATAAATTTTAAGTTTGAGACCCAATGAAGATAAAGACAAATTTTAAAGTCTCTCTAATTCTTTTTTGGTTTATTGAATTCAAGTAAGCACTTGAAACTGGTTTTGATTAGATCTATTTAATACACTAGAATATCCTATAATTAAAAGTTAATTTGTAAACTCAGCTTCCAAATGTAGCAATCTAACTTATGTAATATTCAAATCTGCATAATTTGATTAGCAGAAAAGAACTGTCTGGCTTATAAATGTCTAAGCAGGGTTGAGGATATAGTTTAGTCCTAGAGTGCTTGCCTGGCAGGCACTAAGCCCTGGGCTTGATCCCTAGCACTGGAAAGAAAAAAAAGAAAAAAGAAAAAGTATGCTAAATTCACTTGCAACTCATGCCAACTAAAGGAAATTTCTTTAGTCTCAAGAGACAACCACTATGAGCTAGGCTGTGGACAATCTATCTCCTTGTAAACCTACAAATCCAAACAGTATTGCTGCCTGATAATTAACTAGCAATTTTTGACTACCAAATGTAAATACATAAAGCCAAAACTGCGCCACTTTCAAAGTAGAATACTCTGTGTGTGTGCGCGTGTGTGTGGTTTTTGCAGACAGGGTCTCACTATACAGTTCAGGTTGGTCCTGGACTCCTTATGTAACAGATTGGCCATGAACTCACAGCAATCCTCCTGCTTCAGGCTCCTGAGTGCCGAGATTACAGGCATGCACCTTTACACTTGGTTCAGTATATACTAATCATAACCTTGAAAGACACACACACAGCATTCTAATTGTTAGTAGGATGCTTTGGGGGCCCTGCAGCCATAAGTATGATGCTAAATTGGGCAAAAATCACCATGTGGAAGCTAGTTTGTCAGAACTCAAAGAATCTTGTTCCTTGCCCAGTGCATCCTCAAACATGTCAAGCAAGTGCTACACCACTGAGCTACACCTCTGCCCCGAGTCCACATTTTAACACAATTCTCAGAACTGTTTCTCTTCCTTTTCTTGTTTTTTATTATTTGTTTATTTTAGTTAGCCAGGCTGACCGCACTATTCCTGTCTCAGCCTCCCAAGTCCTGGGATTATAGGCACACATTTCCATGAAGGGCTTCACAAGTGATGTGATTACACTTTAAAAGAAGCAGTGCTTTGACAGACTGTAAAGGATAATAGAAATGTCTTTAAAATAGCAGAAACATTTCTAGAAAAAGGGAAAACTAAAGAGATGATTTTATGGCTCAGTCTATGAAAGGGGAGTTAGTAACTTTAGAACATGACAATAACAAAGTTTTCTGGTTACAGTGGTGCAGGACAGGGCACACAAGGAAGATTCTATGAAGGCATATTAAAAAAAAAGGAATTGGGGGCTTACTAAGTCTATGGTTTTTTAGAATACAGTAGAAATAGGACCACCTAGTAAAAACTCATTATTTTATAAGATTTTTAACTTAACAAAATTATTTAACCCCTGCTAATGTGTATCATTATCATATATCCAACAGCAATTTACAGTGAGCTGAACCCTGTATACAAGCACAATACAGAAAGCGAATAACTGTCTCTAAAAAAGGAATTTGAAATGCCAGGAGGTGCTGAAGCATTTACCTTACATGTTTTGCGGGGAAGGGGTACAAAATAAGCAACATGGGAGCTGCTAGGAGGCAGTAATATACAAGTTCTGGTCATTTTCACAACTGAAGATACCTAGGTTCTTGCTCCTACTCGAAGGAACAGTAGTTCAAAAACCAAGATTTTACTTCTCCCTTATGGTCCCAGAAATTCAGCGCTTCTAATAGCTGTTGTTTATACTGTTTTATCATGTTTTTATTTCTTCAACCTGTGCTAACACAGAGCCCTCACTCGATAAATGCTGAATGAATGAATATTTGCTCGTGGCTTTTTAGGGAACACATCCAACTATCTCTTTACAATATTATTTGACTCCCTCTTTCCCCAAGGGAGAATTCCAAGAAAGAAAACGACGCCCCAGCCTACCGGAGCTTATCCAGACTCCTTGGGTGAAATCTATGTTCCAACCATTTGAAACGCTTCGCCCTGCGGGCTCGCATCACAACCCAAAGCCTCAAGAGCAGTACTCCCACGGAGACCTGTCTTCTCTTCCTCAGCATAGGAATTGAGCAAAGAGGGGGCAGGGACGCGTCCAAGGTCACCCCGGTAGGCAGACCGGACTACGACCGACCCTGCATAAATCGACAGTGCCCCACGTCGGAAGAAGATCCCCACGCTCCATCCAGCCCAAGCCTAGATCTCCTTATTGTCCACTGCAAGGTCACAGGGTACTGGGCTGGGGCCGTGCAGGGCTAAGAAGCAACTGGCTACTCAGTTCCCGCTGCCCGAGGTTTCCAAGCCCATGTCAACAGGCCTGCCGCTGAGTTCGGCTTACATCTCCGGAGACTGAACCAAGGGGAATGAGGGCCGGGCAAAGATTTAAAAGAAAAGCAAGAACAGCGGATAAGGCTCACCAAGGTTCTCGAGCGTACTCCTCCATCTTAACTCGCGGCCCTGGGAGCAATGCCGGGTGTGCAGAGCGGAAACTGACTTCAGTGGCGGAAGTGATCCAAAGAGGAGGTCATTCAAGTCTGTGGGGATTGGGTAGCCGGTTCCCCTGCAGCCAATGGGAGTCAGGAATGGGCGGGGAGTTGGTCAAAATATGGGCGGGACTGGACACGCCCAAATCGTCGGAAGGAAGGAGCTGCACGGGCTGTGTTACAGTGGTGCAGGACTGTAACGGGAGCTACAGTGAAGGGTTTTTTTTTGTTTGTTTTCCTTGTCTTTTGGTACCCCGAATTGAACTTACGACCTTGTGCTTGCCAAGCAGGTGTTGTGCAGCTGAGCTACATCCCCTGCCCGTGAGTGGGTTAGTATTACTCAGTCCCAGGAGGTTCCAGGCCGGGGATAAACCTGAAATTACTCTTCTGGGGTTCAACAAACTTCTTAAATACTGTGCATTTCTTTCACTTTTTAAAAATATGTTTGCAATCAACTGTGAATTAAGCTACCCAATTCATTGTGAATTCCTAGCAACTACGTGTATCCCTGGGGTATCTGTGATCACAGCGCCTGGAAATGTAGTAAATGGTCAAAAATGTTGAGCTACTGTGTCAACTGGAGGACCTTGACCAATTTGAGGCCCTCACTTTGAGGGACATTGACTCCACATTCCTTCTGCCCTCTCCTCACAAAGATCACCAGATGGTACGAGGGATGGATCCCAACAGAGGAAAGAGAGTAAAGGATGGGGACCATCTGCCCCATTTCAGAGCTTGCAAAATTCAATCATGTGATGACTGTGAAGAGAATTCTCCTCTTCTGTACTTTTTGTTTTGCTGTTTTTTGAGACCGGGTCTCGCTATGTAGCCCAGGCTGGCCTCGAACTCACAGCGATGCTCCTGCCTCAGTCTCCAGAGTGCTGGGATTACACGTGTGAGTCAAAGAGCCCGGCTTTCCATTATGCACTTTTGTTTTTAAAATATATTGTCTTTTTCGTTTTTAGCTGTACCAGGGATCGAACTTACAACTGCCTGCTTGCAAGAATAAAATTTAAGAATAAAAAAATAAAAATAATAAAAATAATTAAAAATAATAAAATTTGAGAATAAAATTTTGTAAAAAAGAAAAATGTATAAACAGTATGTATTGTCTTATGGAAAGTCAGTATAATAATAGGAGAATGCAGTGAAGAATGAAGTTCCCTCCAGACACTTTGAAATGAGGTAAGCAGATGAACTGAGGCTTCCAGAGCACGGAAAATCATCAATGAAAGTGTCTTGTATGTGAGAAGGATAGCTCAGGGCTAGGGATTTAGCTAAGTGACATAAGTGCCTGCCTTCAAGCAGGCAGTTGTGAGTTCGATCCCTGTACTGATTTTAAAAAAAAAGAGAAGGATAGCTCAATGTGTAAATTCAAGAAAGCCTGTTTGGAATGTGTGACTGTAATTAAGAACACTTTAATTAATTGTACGGGCTGAAGAGTGGATATAGGAAAAGGGAGACATGGAGCCCAGAAGGAGCAACTCAGCAAGAATTTGATGTTCAGTTAGGCACCGCAGACTTGATGGCATAAATATTTCAATAACTAGAGATTTGAACTGTTAATAGGGTTAGGAATTTTTTCCCCATATCTCACCAGGAACCAAATGAAATATCCCTTAGCTCTGAATACCTTCCTGTATTTCTTAAAAGATCTATGTGTAGTTGCTAAGAGATTCACACAGTCGGTGACAAGTAGCATTAATTCACTTGACAGATCTTTTTGCCAGAGCTCTTTTTTTTTTTTTGGTCTTTTTCCTTTTTATCGGTACCAGGGATTGAACCCACAACTGCCTGCTTGTAAGGCAGGCGCTTATGCCGCTGAGCTAAACTCCCGGCCCCTTTGCCAGAGCTCTTTGCTCTTCCTTGATCTCAAGAGCCCAAGCTCTATTCCGTATTTATTATGTAATCTTATTCTATGTCTATTATTCCAATTATTCTATATTTCCATTGTTAAAGCTCTTTTTTCATATTTATTAAACAATCTTTTGATTATTATTTGGTTTCTATTTCTATATAGGAATGAATGCCCAGGCCTGTACTCAGAATTATTCTTGTCTACTTGGCAGTTAATACTGGTTTATGTACCAGGTGTGGTGACATGTACCCGTAATCCCAGCACTTAGGAGGCTGAGGCAGGAGAATTGCTTCGAGTTTGAGTCCACCCTGGGCTACAAAGTGAGTTCAATGCCAGCCTGAACTGCATAGCAGAATCCTGTCTCAAAAAGATATATATATATATAATAAAAGACATATAAATATATAATATTTATATTTAAATATATATTTATATTCATCTGCCTCTTGTGAGCTTGGTTCTTTTGACTCACCAGGGATAGTCAGAGTTCTCCAGAGAATGAGTAAATACTAGATAGATAGAGATAATGAAGAACTGACTCATCTTAATTGTGGAGACTGTGGAGTCCAATGATCTGCATCTGTGTGCTGGAGACCTAGGAAAACTGCTGTGTAATTTCATCCACGGTCAAAGGCCCTAGAGCCAGGGGAGCCCATGGTGTAAATCCTAGTCTGAAGGCAAGAGAGAGAAGATGCACTGAAATATTTCAGGCCAGAAGAAAGGCAGAGAAAGCAGGGAGAATTACCTCATCTCCACATTTTGGTCTGCACAAGCTCACAATGGCTCAGGCACTGCCCAGTTACATCAGAAGGGACAATCTACTATACTTAGGCCACTGGTCCAAATGTTATTTGTCTCTAGAAACACTCTCTCAGATAGGAATAGTATTTAATCTGGGCACCGTGTAGCCCACTCCAGTTTACATAAAATTAGCCTTCCTAGTGAGTTTGTTTACAAAGCTGAAGTTCAAACCCTCTGTGTGGCACGTGCCAGGGACCCAGCTGACTTTATCCTGACATTCCTTACCCTAAAGGAGTGCACTCTGCAGGGAAATCTGCTCAAGGGCCAGCAACCATTTTCATTTCTCGCTTTCTGCTCTCTTTAACTGCAGCAGGTAACAGGGCACTTCTGACCAGGAAAGCCTGGAATTTAACATTTGTTAGAGAAATGTGTCACTTCTTCAGAAATAACCATTTCTGCTGCACATGATGATCAGGAGCTACTCAGGAGGATGAGATGGGAAGATGGAAAATTTAAGGTCGGTCCAAACAATTTATCTGGGTATGGTGGCACACAGCTATAATCCCAGCACTTGGGAAACTGAGGCAGGAGGTTTTCTGTGAGTCCAAGGCCAGCCTGAACTAGGTAGCAAAACCTTGTCTTCAAAAAAAAAAAAAAAAAAAAAAGACAACTAAGACTGTATCAAGACAAAATTTTTGAAAGGCTGCGGTGTAGTTCAGTGATAGAATGTTTGCCTAGCATGTGCAGACCCTGGGTTCAATCCCCGTATCCTCCCCACAGACACACATGTGCACACATGCACATACACAAATCCATTTCCAGGGAACTGAAGAAACTTTTGGAAGAAGAGATATACTCTATAATCTAGTGAGGCCTGCTTGCTTTCTCTCTCTCTCTTTCTTTTTTTGTTTTTTGAGACCACATTTTGCTATGTAGCCCGGGCTTGCCTCAAACTCTCAGTTTTCCTGCCTTAGCCTCCCCAGTGCTGGAATTATAGGATATACCACCACGCCTGGCCCTGTAGCGAGTCTTACCCCTTCAGTGAAGCAATGCTAAGTGACACAGAGCAATGATAAAAGAAAATAGTGAAAGTCCTTGAGACCATGGAATGAAGGGTGTTAAAATGGGTGATTCAATACTCTAGGGCATAATTTGTTGAAAGCTAGTGTTCTAAGCCTGACCTGGGACCACTGCTGGAGCTACCTGTGTCCAGGTTCTGATGGGAAGGGACATTTTCAGAATCTGCTCCCTCAGCTTTTTAGTCCCTGTGAGTTTAGAGATCCAAAGAGCCCCCTTTAACAGGAGGACACAGTCCCTGAATGTGGCTCCACATCCCCAGTCCTGCCTGATCCAAGTCACTGAGAAACTCAGATCGCCCCATATAAGTGAGGCTAGGATGCAGCCAGCTTTTGGGCTTGGGCTTGTCTGAGACTGGGAAAGGTTTGGTAGGCAGAGGAGCCTTAGCCTGGCCTAGAGGAGGCTGGGAAAGGTAATCTCTTGCCCTTTTTCTGCCATGGCTCTCCTTTCTGGAAGACATCAGTCTGGCCTGTGTCTTTGCAGGACTCTCCTCTGCACATTTCTGCTCAGCTCAGGAGTGTGGGCCAGGCCAGAGACAGAGCCCACCGCTTTCCTGTAGAGAAACCGTATAGCTCCTCAAAGAAGAGAATCAATGGACGATCCCTGTCTTTTGTGGTCTCACACTCTCTGGCCCTCGCTTTCACTGTACTGTACTAGAGCACTGTACACATACATGCAGAAGTCATGTTCTACATAATAATGTTTATTATGAGTCTGATGCTGTTACACTTTGCACACTTCATAAGTCTGTGACCCCAAGTAGATATTCTTTTTTTTCTTTAGCTTAACACCTTTCTCCCCCCCCCCCCCAGAACTGGGGCTTAAACTCAGGGCCCTGTGTATGCTAGGCAAGTGCTATACCACTGAGCTACCCCTCCAGCCCTTAGGTAAGTACTTTTTAAATGTCCTATACTCCATTTCCCATGGCTCAGAGAGGTTAAATAACTTACCCAAGGTTACAGGTCTCAGATTTGAGCCCACGTCATTTGACTCCAAAGCCTGCAGTCTTATCTGCTACCCTACACTGCCACCCTATATTCTTGAAAATGTGACTTGCCTGGAGTCGTGTGGCCCACGGACAGACATCCTACATTAGTCAAAGTGGCTCTGGGTCCTGGTTGTCGTTTTCCCATCCCACTAAACATCTTGAGTGGAGCTTGAAATCTCTTTCCCTTTTATTCTCTTCATATTTCCCTGGCCCCAGTGATGTTTGCTATTCTCCGAGAAATAGGCAAAGCCAGAATCCCATTCTCCGAGAAATAGGCAAAGCCAGAATCCCTGATTCTGCTGGGTGTGGTGGTACATGCCTGCAACCCAGCACTCAGGCAGCTGAGGCAGGAGGATTGCTGTAAGTTTGAGACCAGTCTGGGCTACATAGTGAGACACTGTCTCAAAAACAAACAAATAAATTAACATGGCTTCTACTATTTCTTATACCTGTTTTCCTTTGCAGTGGAACCATTTTTATCTCATTAAATAATACAGTTTAAAGAGAAGAACTATGTTGCAATTATTTTTGTATCTGTCTCCCCATGGTATGTAGCAGTGTGCTACATGTACATAGTAGTATCTGAGTAAATGCTTCAAGGAGTGGATGAGTGAGTAAGAGCCAGGTGTGTGTGTGTGTGTGTGTGTGTGTGTGTGTGTGTGTGTGCATGCACATATGTACATTGGAGAAAAGAAACAGAGGACAGGAAAAGTAGGCTGGAAATAGAACTACCCAGGCCTAAAGCATAGATAATTATAGTAACTGCTAATAAGTACATCAGTCAATGTATATATGTTTACCTTATATCACATCAATGTTTTCACTCGTATGACCATGTAGTGGTCACAACAATCGTACAAGGTAGGTACAAGTGTCATTCTCATTTTACAGATGGGGAACTAGGTGTAGGGGAGAAGACGACTTTCCCAAAGCCATGTGGACAGTAAGCAGCCGTACTTGAACCTGACACAGGTCTGCTGGCCTCTGGAGCACAGCCCTCGCCTGCATAACCGCTCTGCTGTCCGGCTCCTCTGTATTCTCTGTAAAGCCTTTGTACTTCTCGTTTGAGGAATTTTTCAGACTCTTAATTATTTAATGGCTTGTTTGAAGTTATTAGTTTAATAACCTCCAAAATGGTAGGGGCCATGTGTATTCTTGTCTTTAGTTACCTCTCTAGCTCTTGACAGATTGACATATTGTAAATACTCAATAAATATATGATTGTTGATTGACCAATATATGATAACTGACTCTTAAGAATAAACTAGGATGGTGGTCCTCCTGCCTCAGCCTCCCAAGTCCTGGGATTATAGGCATGCACCTCCACGCCTAGTTCAATTTTAAGAATCAGTCGTCAAGAAAAAAAATGAATCAGTCATTTTGTGTTGGACAAATAGTAAGTATATATTTATTGAGTACCTATGATGTGTCAGGGACTGTTGAAAGTCCAGCTCTTGGGAGGCTGAGGGTTGCTGTGAGTTCAAGGCCAACCTGGACTACACAGTGACACCCTGTCTCAGAAATAAAAGAACTCCTAGAGTTCTCACATCCCTGCTCCCACCCTCTGTCTCTGGTCCGCCCACCTCACTTCTGTCCTCCAATCCCACAGTCAGCACCATGCCCCACTTCGGCCTCAACCTCAAACTGGACTTGTGTGCATTAAATGCCAGGGCCAAGTTTTAGTCCCAGATGATCCCTGGACTCAGCAGATGCTGATCAAGTGACCGTCTCTCTCTAGCTTAGGATGGAAAGATGCCAGGAAAGATCGAAGCATCTACCCTGATGGGTTACACCAGGGCTTCTGGAAAGGATTTTGTGGCAAAGAGGGAGGGGGCAGGAGATTGAATGTCACTGTGACTTGTGCAGGGCAGCATGATGGATGAGCAGCGAAAAGCCCTTCTATGAAAGATGCCAGACCTGTTGCAATAGTAGATGTCCCAAAGGCCCAGAATTGTGTTTCCCTGAAGACTGGCTAAATGGTGCTCTGGACTGTTGCATGGGTGTCGACCCTGTGGCTCCTCCCCAGTGCTCCCAGGGGAGGCCAGGTTTATAGATGTCCCAGTGGAAGAGGAACCAGAGGACAACCGGGTAGGTTTGGACCCCCTTCCCAAGAGCCTTGGGGCTTCCAAAATTTACAGCCTTTAAGACTTTCCTGTCTTCTGTAGATCCTACAGTGTTTCTCAGACAGCCTTGCAGTTTCAGATACGCAACCTCTCTCTCCCTCTCTCCTCCTTCCCTCCCTCCCTCAGATTGTCCTTGGCAGAAGAGCATAGGAAGGCAGGAGGTCAGGAGGGACAGCCCCTCATCTCGAACTGTCTTCTCCGGCTGGAAACCTAGCTAGGCATCCCCCAGCACATTACCAAATACAGTAGAAAGAAGTCAATGAACAATGCTGGCCACAGTGCCATCCACCCGGTGACAGAAAAGTAAACTGTGCTTGAATGGGCATGCCTCGGGCCAGCAACTTCACAGGCCCCAGAGTCCTGGTCCTCCTGCTTTCCTGGCTCTCCAAAGCCGTAGTAGCCTTGTGCCAGCCCCTGCATTTTTGTATCTTTTTCTCATTGCATGGCCCCCTTGTCTTTAAAAGGCTAAACTGTTCTGTACTAAATTTGGTCACACAGCGCTCCAAGATTCCCTGGAATGTCCTCAAGTTTCAAACAGCTCTGACAGTGAGGCTGGCCCGCCCCCAGTGTGGGGATTGGCTTCTCCTTTCGGGGCTGGGCAGCTGTCCTGGCTTATTGGTCAGGGCTTCTACTAGGCAAGGCTCACCAGCCTTGGGCTGCAGCGCCGCTGCTGCGACAGAGCACCTGTGGCAGCACAGGACCAGGTTGGGGAGCCACAGTCCTTGACCCAGTGGGGGTTTCCTCGCAAGACCACTCTGCACATCTGTTCAGCTCCTGTTCTGTCCCACTATCCTGAAAGAGTCACAGCTCATTTTGCCAAGATGTCCAAGGTAGCCAAGTACCGCCGGCAGGTGAGCGAGGATCCTGACATCGACAGTCTGCTGTCCACCCTGTCTCCCGAAGAGATGGAAGAGTTGGAGAAGGAACTGGATGTGGTGGATCCAGACGGGAGCATTCCCGTGGGGCTGCGGCAGAGGAACCAGACGGACAAACAGTCCACGGGTCAATACAACCGGGAAGCCATGCTCAACTTCTGCGAAAAGGAGACCAAGAAGCTGATCCAGAGAGAGATGTCCGTGGACGTGAGTGACACACTTGGGGTGGGGGATCCTGGCTCCATGACTAGAGTGCTTGTTGCCTTAGGGGAGCAGTTCTCATTGGCCAAAGGTCGAGTGCTTCAGGGCTGGTTATTACCCACTAAACTAGTGTTGTGTAGTTTTGGCTTTGCTTTTTTGCTCTGTGAGCAAAAGCTGGGCGATCTGTGGGAGCACAGCACCCCACAAACTCAAATAGGGTTGGCAGAGAAGGGGAGCTGGGAAGTGTCCAGGAAGCATTCATCAGGTGAACTCCATCCCAATCCCTCACCTTCTGTTTTTTCCATTAAATTCCTCCCCTGCTGTAGTGGGGAGGGCAGAAGGGAAAGACCATGCTGGCAGTCTCTGACAGCCACCCACAGAGAGGAGGGGAACCCTCCCATGGCAGAAGAGTTCAGTGTCTCCACCTGAAAGCTGCCATTTTATTCTCAGGAAAAGTGAAGTCTGTCTGTCTTTCCTTCTTCCTCTCCTTTCTTCCTTTTCCACTCTATAAGATACTTTTTGGGTTTTTTTGTTTTGTTTGTACCAGGGATTGAACTCACTACCTTGCACTGGTCAGGCAGGTGCTTATCCTGCTGAGCCAAATCCCCAGCCCTCTAGCAGATATTCTTGGATGAGTAACCCCTTTCTGCGTTAGGTCCTTTACAAGCTCTCCAGGCTGCTTTGCTAGGCATGGAGAGATTCCAGCAGAGGATGACAGGGAAGGGAAAGCAGGGATGTTCAGATGCATCTACCCACACTGAGGATGAGCTGAAGCCCAATGGCCTTCTCTTTTCCTGGGTGGGCACAGTTTCTTCACAGTTGCCCTCACGTTTGAGCTCCCTCCATACAGACTAGACTAGTCTCTGATTACCTGTGATCACCTGGGCTTCCATTGTCTGTGGGAAAGTGTCCAGTGGGCAAACTATTTTAAGTCTTTGTTCTCATTCTTAGCCATGTCTGTTGTACAGTAGCCATTATTTGTGAATTCTTATAAGAAAGGCCCCAGGCCTTTGTTTCACTTCTATGGAAACCGAAACACTGAGCTTCAGATGACATGTTAATTCCCACAAGGGCTGAAGACAGGAATATAATCAACTGAAACTTCTGTGGAAGGGCTACCAGCTAGGGAAGTGACCACTGGTCAGAGCATACTGGTGGACAGGGCCCTGAGTTCCTAAGTCCTTGAAAGTAGGGAGGAGATGGGACAGAAGGAGGGGCAGGTCCAGGCAACCTGTCTCCACCCCTGTTTAAGGCTTTGCCAGGAAGTGAGGAGAATGTGGGGAGTCACGGGCTCAGGAATTACTGTCCTATGGGCAAGGCAGTTGCCCCTGATGCAGCCATGATAATGATGAATAAACACCGAAACTTTTATGAGGAAAAAATGGGGGACACCTCAGGGTAGTTATCAGGAGCATAAAAATGAAATGCAACCAAAAAATCTTAGGTACCTCTGTGACCTTTCCACCCTGATCCTACATATTCTGGGCCCCTGGCTGCTTTGTGTCGGTGCTTCTGGCAGCTGAGGTCAAACAGCACTTTTTTTTTCTTGAGGTGCTGGAATCAAGTCCTGGGTCTTTTGTGGGTGCCCAGCAGGGCTTTACCTGAGCTGTACCCCCAGCCCTCCGCCAAGCACTCGGCCACAGAGCAGAGAGGGCAGGCGACTCCATTCTTCATTCTCCAGGTTTTCTGCTCAGCCTATAAGACCATGCCAGCCTCTCCTGTCCTGCCCACCTCCCTCCATCTCCACACTGGTTCTGCGGACAGAGCACAGGTCATGGAAATGAGGGTGAGGTGGGGGCACATGTAGGGGAGCTTGCACCCTCTGAGGAAGGAACCACATTTAGGACCATTTTCCCCTCATGGAGACATCTGTTCTGATCCGCACCTTCTCCTCCAGCAGTCCACAGGCCTGTGTGGTTGTAGTGCCTGCGCAGAGGTCAGGATCTATCCTGAGTAGTGTACGGAAGTCATCTCTGTAAATCGTGGTGAATGGGAATGAATCCTAAAAAGTGGCCACAAAAGCAGCGTTAGCAAAATAGCATGTGGTGGGTCAAGGACTTGGATTTCATTATCAGGGGAACAGGGCACGAGTGCCAGTGTCCTTTGCTGTCTGTGTATCACTTACGGGGTCGTTGTAAAAACTAAACAGGCTCCACACGGAAAGCACTTAGCCCTTAGCGTGGACATTGGCACATAATAAGCCCTCCATAGACAGGAGCCGTGCAATCGTGAATTCATTTGGGCCAAGGAACCCAGAAATTGGTGACATGAGCCTGAGCAAAGCTCTGTCCTTCCCAGTTTATTCCTTCCCTTGGTCCCCAAGGGCTGTGAAGCCACCCCCGCCCATGAGTTAGTGGCCACAGGAAGTGTGCAAAGCCTGGGTGCTCAGCACACTATGGAACAGTGGCAGCGGCTCCTGCTGCCCCCTCCCTGCCTCGGCCTCCCCTCCACTCAAGGACCGTGAGTAGTCAGACCTGAGTCTGAGACCCCAAGGCTGGACGTGAGCGGGAGCAGCAAGGTAAGCATTTCCCAAGACCCTGCTACCTGTCTGGCACCTCCACCTTCTCTTTTATTTTAAGCCTCACAAGTCTTGGGATGTAGGCATTTTCATCCCTCTTATGCAGACTGGAAGTGTAAATCTCAGAGAGAGTGAATAACCATGGTGAGATAACACAGCTAACAAGGGGCCTGCTGACTTTAAGATCTATGCTTTCTCCCCTCCGCCCTGTAGAGGACCAAAAGTACTCTAATGCAGTGTCCTTGCTCTTCAGAACTTATAACCCAGATCGGCGATGCCAGGCCAGTCCCAGGCCAGTGGTTGTGGCACAGTCCTCAGAAGGCTGATCTCCCACCTGACCTGGACCAAGCTGGTCCGAAGTGGCTTAGGGCAAGATATCAGATGATATCAAGGCTTTAAATGAGCAAACAGTATTGCAGGTATATTTTTATGTGGATGCTTATCTTTTAGACGTAGCTCTTGAAATAGTTATGGGAAAATTGATTAGGAAGTTTATTTAACATGATCGAGGTAGGAACAGAGGTGACGAGCCATGGGCTGATGATGGTTGAAGCTGGGTGATGGCTCCATGTGGTGTTCATTGTGCTGTTTTCTCCATTTTTGTATACCTGTTTGAAGTTTCTCTGTCATAAAACAGTTTAAGCTGGGCATGGAAGTGTACACCTGTAATTGTAGCACTCAGGAGGCTGAGGCAGGAGGATTGTTTCCTGGGCTACACAGTGAGTACAAGACCAGACTGAACTGCACATTGAAATCCTATCTAAAAAAACAAACAAAAAATTAAAAATAGAAACCAAGAGTGGGAAGTGGGCCCATAGGGGTCATCAACCCTGGCTTTTCCTGGCCGTGCAGATTTATACTGGGCTATCCTGGAGTGAGTCCAGAGCACAGAAGGGCCGGGGCTGCTTTGCGCTCTGTGGAGGGGACGCAGCAGGGATCTTCCGGCTTGATTACCACCTCTTGTGAATATTCCCCATGCCCTCTTCCAGGTCACTTCCTGGATGGCCTTCTGCTCCCAGACACTGCCACCTCTGGGAGGCTTCCTGACACAGGCAAGGCTAGCCACCTGTCTGAGCACTGTGACCCATCAGTTAACCCTGGAGACATCATGTTTTTTTCTTTTTGGAACCCAGGGCCTTGAGCAAGGGCTCTAGCACTGAGCTGTACACCTCCTGGCTTTGCCCTTTTGTAATCATCTGCTTTCCTGCCTATCTCTCTTATTAGCCTGTGTGATACTGAAAGACTAATGCTTTTTAAAAAAAAATCCAGGCACACAGAACACACACACACACACACACACACACACACCCATTTGTTGCATGAATGCTCAGAGATTAGGGTTTGGTTGGAGTTAGGGCTCAGCCAAACTGAACTGGCCTCTGCCCTCCCTTTAAAGGGACAGACACTGCAACCAAAGGCTTTTACCCTGGTCCCGTGGGATTTCTCCTTCAGCCCAAGGGGCAGCCTGAGCCCGAAGGGAAAGTATAGCCTGAGTTCAGTGAAACACAGCCTGCCTAGGCTCAAGTTTCAGGAACCAGATCCCAACCAGTCAACCCCTGCGTTCTCTTCCTTTCCCAAATGGCGGGGGGGGGGGGGGGGGGGGGGGGGGGGGGATATATGCCCCTCCCGCTGCTGCCGCTTCCTTCTCCCTGAGACACGATGGGCTAAGGCTTAGCACCTGTAGCCAGAGGCAGGGGCAGCCGAGCTTGGGGAGGATGGTCTTTTAGCTTCTCCATAGGGGTGAATCTGAGAAGCAAGCCTGAAGCACCCCACCATGAGCCTGAGCCTCCTTTACCGTTCCAGGATTCCGGTTCACAGCCAGGCAACCCTAGTGTCCCAGCAGGGGTGGGAGCCCCGAGGCCGAGAAAGCCCAAGCCCAAGCTGGGCCCTAACCCTCAGCATGCCCTTTGCAGACAGAGGGCTGGGCTGGTCAGTAGCATGCCAGGCAGCACGGCTCACTGCTTAAGGAGATTACCCGACTGGTGCGCACCCAGAATAGCCCTGGAGGCCAGGGCAGAGGGGGCAGGAGAGGTTATGGGGGCCTGTTGACCCAGGAGGCGAGAGCAGGCACCCAGAGAGGGCTGGACAGGTGTAAAATCTCCCCCTGGAGTTTGACAGCTGCCTCCCTCCAGGATTCGGAAAAACAGCTGACTGCTCTTAAGCTGGGCGATGGGATCCACAGGTGTTTGTCTCCAGTATTGTTCCTATTCATGTAAGTTTTCTCTGTCTCTTTCTCTCGGGTGTGTGTATAATACACATTTAATTTAAAGAATTTTGGGCAAGCAGGGCCGTGGCAGCAGCTGCCCTGTGCAGCATGGCCCTTGAGTGCCGCCGGCCTTCTCTTACACACAGCAGGTGTGTAAGGACATGGCTAGGGACATGCCGAGGGGGGCCTCAGATGGACAGGACCATGGAGAACTTGTAAGAATAAAATGGTGAAATGGTCATCAGTGAGAGGGGGAAGGGAATGATTCCCAGGTGGGCCTGA